TTGAAACCTGTTAAAAATCATCATTGCTTTCATAAGTTTGATGTTTTCATGAGTAGGTTGGCTTCTAACATAATGATTTAGGCAAGGCCTTACCATTTTGTTGGCCAACTGTCCAAGTGTCCTTTAAAATACTTAGCCACTCCTATTATTGAGTATTGTTAAGTTGTATGTCTCAGGATTTGGTACTAGTCTATTTGTGCGACGAGTAACTATAGTTTTTCCCCATGTTGTTACGTAAACTTAATTTTGATATTGCATTACAGGAAAACATGCTTCTATTGATGAATTAGTGAACTTCATTTTTGCTGCAAGGATGGCCAAAAAGTATGAAAAAGATGCAAATAATCCATTTCCTGGAGATGACGTAAGTATAAAGTTCTTCAATAACTTCTTCTGTGGGTTATATTTAGGTTGATTTGATGAATTTTGATGGTCTGGATACATCTTCATGCTGTAACAGTTATATTGGTCTGTCCATCTATTATGATCTACATAACAGTTCTAAATTGTAATTACGCAATCCTTAGAGATTGGCAGTTTGAGGACTCCTTATAGCCAGTTTCGGAACTTATGGCCAAAGTTCTTCCTTCATCTTTGAACTTGATTTGTCAGACCAGATCTCCGGTATTCGTTTACACGTGATAAACAAAGAAAACCTTACTTGATAATGTCCTTTCTTGACTAACAAGATGGATGGTTGTACATAAATAGGTACAAGGTTCAATTTGAAATACATAAGCCTGTTTGATTTGTCTGGGCAAATGATAGGAGCAAGCTTTTTAGACAAGTCAGTACCTATTATAGGGTGAACACATATCGGGGAGGCTACAGTCATCACGGCCTGAATAAGCTTTTAGTTCTCATTTTTATTCCTATGCAAGTATCTTATTGGATGGGGATTTTTTAAAGAGACTGTTTAGAGGTGCACTTTTTGGTTAACCTGGAAAAACTTGAAAACTAAGTAAAGATGGATGAATCTTTTACATTATTCTATTCGCTTGTTATGTTTTATAATGTTTTCCCTTCATGCCTAAATTCAACTGCTAATTTTCAGAACTGCAACAATGAGGCCTTATTTGGTATTATGGACAAGACGCTCCGATTGCTCGAAATGGGTTTTACTGAAAATCAAATTTCAGCTGTTTTTGAGAGATGTGGTGAGCTAAATATCATTAAATTCTTGTAACCACTTACATTTTATGTTCTATGAGTTGGTAAATTTGTACCCTCTCTTTTGACATTCTATTTCATGTTCTTGTATTTCAGGTTCAGAAGCACTTCTGACAGATCTTGCCGAATCAATTATTACTGGTGGTGCTGAACCGGATGCTCATAAGGTCTATGTCACTACTAATAAGCTTTTCTAGCCACTTTCACATAAAAACACCACTGTTTTTACGGATTGTTCATGTATTTTTAAAAATTGTACTTTGCAGTACTCTTCACCTTTGAGCAAGCAAAGTGTCCAACTTAATTGCCGATCTCTGAAAAGAAAGACAACAGGAGATTTTCTAATGAATCAGCAGCCTCTTAGCTCGGTATTGATAAAAACCGAGGAATACAGTTCAGATGTTGTACCTGAACCCGACTTGCTTGAGAGATTGAAAGGCAAGAGGCCAAAAGAAGAACATACTGATGATGAGCCAAACAACTGGCTGAAACCAAAAGAAGAATTTATGGAAGACACGAGCAATTCCGAGGGTAGGATGTGGCTAGAAGCAAGAAGAGGGATCTCCAGTTCGACAAATAATCGAGTAGCAGCCTCGCGAAGACGGGTTTTGGGAATTCTAGAAGATAGAAACCCCACCATGTCCATGCCCAATCCTTGCAAGAGTCTTACTAGTGTAGTAGCTAAACCTCCGTATTTCTTTTACGGAAATGTGACTAGCTTATCTCAAGACTCTTGGGCAAGAATTTCCCAGTTTCTGTATTCCTCACAACCCGAATTTGCAAATACTCAATTATACTCCGCATTGAGCAGAAAGGAAGGCTATATACATAACCTCCCCATTGAAGATAGATTTCACATTCATCCAAAGGGGCCAATGACTATCGAGGAAGCTATACCACATTCAAGAAAATGGTGGCCATCATGGGATGACAGGAAGCAACTAAGCTACATCAGTTGTGAAACGAGTGGAGTACCCCTTCTATGTGACAAGCTTGGAAGAATTTTGGCTGATTGTAATGGGCTTCCATCGGCTGAACAACGTAGACAAATTCTCCAACAATGTCGGGAGAAAAATTTGATTTGGGTAGGCAAATATAAGTTGGGTCGACTAGAACCTGAACATTTAGAGCGAATAATGGGTTATCCGTTCCAACACAGTCAAGTTGCTGGATTTGGCGTGCCCGATCGACTTGGATCACTTAAGCACTCGTTTCAGACGGACACTTTAGGGTACCATCTTTCAGTTATGAGGCGTTTAGTACCTGGAGGAGTGGTTATTTTGTCGTTTTTTAGTGGTATAGGTGGAGTCGAAATCGCTCTCCACCGACTTGGCATTGTTTTGAAGGGTGTGGTTTCTGTTGAAACTTGTGAGGTGAAACGCAAAATTCTGAAGAAGTGGTGGGAGAGTAGTGGGCAGAGCGGAGAGTTGATTCAGATAGAGGACATCAACAAGTTATCCAGTCGCAGACTTGAAGATTTGATGAAGAAGTTCAAAGGATTTGATCTTGTGGTGTGTCAGAACCCGTATTCGGCTGCCGATAGTGATAACTTGTCTGGGTTGGATTTTTCTATGTTTGCAGAGTTTGTGAGAGTTGTACAACGTGTAAGGTCTACAATGGACGGAGACAGATAGATGATTTTATGACCACGATCAAACAGTCCCTTTTGTTTTTGTTTTTTTGGTACTAATATTATTATTTGTAGTGAATGTATTTTGTCTAATTTTTTTAAGTTTGGCTCCTCTGAAATCCAAAATACCTTTGAGAGACTCAAATAGTTCATATGTATGTTGGCGCATTAAACCAATCGAATGTATTTTTTTAATGATAATGTTTGATTTATAACAAAGATGATGTCAGATGAGATAATTCAGTTGTTTAATCATACAGTACCAACATATGCATAGATAGTTTATCAAGACTTTACAATGTAACATAAATTAAGGCAATATAAATATAATTTATTGAGATTTTAAACAAACCTAAAGTGGACTGCCATTGAACTTTGATCAAACTTATAAATTCTTTCAATCTGGTCTCTTTAATTACTTTACTGCCCTAGCTCACAGTATATAATCTTATTACATATAATTCTTCTTATTACATATGTGGAAGCTATGCCTCATGGAATGCATAATAATAATAGTATAACTTAAAACACAATTAGAAGCTGGTTCAAACAAATATATATATAGCCTGTTTTATTGATATTAATTAATATAAAATAATTACAAGTGTACAAAATGACAGAGTAATTACCATAAACAAAACATGAGGTGATGAATGGGGAAACAATTATGTAAAACTAGCTAGCTATATAATATATAGCTGAATTAATCCCTTTATTAAAGATGATTAATGATTATTATTTGCTCTGATGATGATGATGATCATCATCTCTATTGTCAGTCTTGTTAAATGGAGAGTAGCCTTTTTGCAACATCTTCTCAACCTCCTCGAACTGGAGACCTTTGGTTTCCGGTACGAGGAAGAAAATGGAGACAAGTCCTACGAAAGAAAACCCTGCAAACAACAAGAAAGTGCCGGCGGACCCTAGATGCTCCGTCAGCGTTAAGAAAGTCTCACTCACTACAAGATTTGAACTCCAGTTAGAAACAGCAGCTATACCTCCACCAATCCCTCTGTATTTGAGCGGATAAATCTCAGAGTTCACAATCCAGGGGACTGTTCCCATTCCTGGTGAGTATACTATGATGTACAATCCCAACAATATCACTGCCAAGAATCCTATCTTGCTCGGGCACCCTTCTGAGTACCATGTTCTTTTCGACGCTTTGCACGCCCCTTTTACTTCGTCTGTCATCACCAAACACGCCCCTGGATGGTACTGAACAACAACAACAACAACAACAACAACAACAACAACAAATGAGTAATGGACAATTTTAGTGATTGATTGATTGATCATGACAAGCTAATTAAGTACATGTATGTAAAATAGATTTATCTTACCAAGCTGGCTCCTGCAGAGCAGTAACCACAATCAACGTCTTTGGAAAGGCATTTCATGCAGCTCCAAGAAGATGCGTCGGGTGCGGTTGTGTAAGCAGTGCAAGTAGAGTTTGCACCGAAGAAAGCGCTCTCGGATGGGCTGATTTTGGGGGCGTTGGCCGAGGCTTGGTAGAAGACTCCGGATAATACGATCAGGCAAGTGATGATTCCGATCATGGAGATGATCATGAGCCTTCTTCTACCGTATCTGTCGACGAAGCACATGCTGACTATCGAGCCAACCGCGTTGAGTCCAGAAGTGATGAGAGAGAGTGCCATAGCTGTCTTGTTTGATGCGAAACCTGCGAATTGGATGATTGTAGGGCTGTAGTACATGACGGTGTTTATGCCGACAAACTGCTGTGCCACCTGGACTGTAATGCCGGCATAGAGACCTCTTCGAACAACGTCGTTTTTCCATGCACTTTTTAATTGGCCGAAGATGCCACCTTCTCCGACTTGCTCCTCTTTCTCTTGCTTGATGGATGTTTGAAGGGCTTGAATCTCGTGCTCAACTTCTTCTGCTGGGTAAATTTTCTCCAATATGGCCTTTGCCTCTTCTTCCTTGCCCTATTAGTACAATATGCATGCAATTAATCATTTTTTTTGCCATAATATATGTAATTAATTAATTGGTATATGAACATAGTAGGTAGGTATAAGGTAGTTACATTTCTGAAAAGCCATCTTGGAGATTCTGGGAGTGATAGCATCAAAACAAACTGAATGATGGCAGGAATACCAGCAACTCCGAGCATCCACCGCCATGTTCCGGGTACCTATTTAATTATTTAATTTTGTAAAAAATAATTAAAAAGGATCATATATATATATATAAGATAAGATATACACATATATGCATGCATGCATACGTGGGTGAAAGCTAGATTGATGAGATATGAAAAGAACTGGCCGCCGGTGATGAGAAGTCCGTTTGTGCTGACGAGTGCGCCTCTGATTCTATGAGGAGATGCTTCCGATATGTATAGAGGGGATGTCATCGAAGCCATCCCGACACCGAGTCCCACGAATATCCTCCCGATGATGATTACCCATGGGGCCGGAGCAAGTGCCATAACGATGGCGCCCACGAAGAAGAGCACGTCCGCGATCAAGATAGAAACTTTTCTTCCGAACCTGTCGTTGATCCATCCTCCGACAGCAGCGCCGACGATGGCGCCGGCGACGGCCATACTGACGATGGTTTCCTGAAGCCATGTCTGCCTATCTACCTGCTTGAAATCCTCACGTATGTACAGAAGTGCGCCGGAGATAACACCTGTGTCGTATCCGAAGAGGAGACCACCGAGGCCGGCCGATAAAGCAAGCCTCATAATGTAAGGTGTTTTCCATGACGTTCTCCAGCATTCCGTGAACTCGGTCTTATCTGCCTGTGCAATTCCTCCCTCAACCATGCTTACCTTACGTTGTGTATATATATATATATTTTTATATATTTATGTGTATGTATGTATGTATGTATGTATAGAAATCGATGCGCTTCTAGGCCTTATTTCTTTTTTTAATTAATTGTTTAATTAATTACACAGAAGAGAAACAGGAATCCTTATACATTAATATATGTATGTATATATATATATATATACAGTATGTGCAGTATCTGCAAAAAAAAAAAAAAAAAACAAATCATAAGAAGAACGATGATCAATCATTAATAATTATGAGTAAAAGCAAAGGAGAAAGAATGAAGTATAGGTAGGTAGGTACCTTATAAATTATGATTGTGCACGTACATACATAGAGGTGGGTCTGAATAAATATTAATATTAATTATGATTCTGGAATGAAGTTCCCTGTAAGTTTTATTATATTATTTGTCTTCCAAAGAATGTATTCCAGAAGATAATAAATATATATTATTCATTAAAAACTGAATTTCCAGTCCAGATAGTACACAAGTATATATAGAGCTAATTTTGGTTAATTATTATATTAATGGAAGAAATTATTAGAGGATGGGATGAGGTTTTGTGATATGGACGGACGCAGAGATAATTAAGGTCCTTAATTTCAGTTCAAACTCATATTAATCAATAATTAATACCAAGTCAAACAGGAACACAAATGTACGTACGTTTAGGATAATTTAACGGAGTAATATAATGTTGCCGGAATTAATTAATTAATTAAACCTTATTGCATATATATGCATTTTTATTTAATTTGAAACAGCAAAACATGCATGTTCTAATTAACTAAGGTCTATACATACATATATATATATATATATATATGATTAATAGAATCAAGTTAATTCATGGATCATAATTTATAATCAATAATAATGTCTATGATTTTGGGTACATGCAGCATATATTAATAAATGGGGAAGGTCATCGTTAAATCATGAGAATTAGTAATATTTTGGATTGGCAAGTATATATAAGTGATATTATACAGAGAGTAATAGTGAAAATAAATATAGATATAGGGCAGCTGGTGATGACAATAACTCCCATATGCATAATGAGATCATATTTATTTTATTAATAAAAAAAAAAAAATGAAAAAACGTGGAAGCAAAAGAGGGTATCTGGTGTGCATGCAACTGCCACGTTTTGTTCATGCACATCCCCTTCTCCCTCTCTCCCTCAATATATATATATATGTATATTCCTCGTCAATATTATTATTATTAATAAATTAAAAAAAAAAAAAGAAGAAAAAAAAGGAAAAGAAAATGCCAGGGCTTACCATCGGAGACACACTCCCAGACCTCGAAGTTGAAACCACCCACGGCAAGATCAAACTCCACGATTATGTCGACCAATCTGATTTCACCATCATCTTCTCTCATCCCGGTACTCGATCCATCCATCCATCCATCCATCCATCCATCTCCTATCCTACTATTGATATATTATTATTATTATCCATCGAATATTGATTGCAGGTGATTTCACTCCGGTTTGCACGACTGAGCTGGGTATGATGGCTGCCTACGCCGACAAGTTTGCTGAGAGAGGCGTCCAGCTTTTGGGTTTTTCCGCCGATGACGTTGACTCCCACAACCAGTGGATCAAGGACATCGAAGCACACAACGGCGGCCACAAGGTCACTTACCCAATTGCTGCCGATCCTCACAGGCATTTCATCAAACAGTTGAACATGCTCGACCCTGACGAGAACCAAGTCCCCTCACGCGCTCTTCACATCGTCGGCGGCCGTGACAAGAAGATTAAGTTGAGCTTTCTATACCCTGCTACCACTGGCCGCAACATGGACGAGGTGCTGCGGGTCCTCGATTCTCTGCAGAGGGCGTCCCAGTCCCACCACAAGATTGCTACTCCTGCCAACTGGAAACCGGGTGACCCGGTTGTTATTTCGCCCAGCGTCTCTAGTGAAGAGGCTAAACAGATGTTCCCTCAGGGTTACAACACTGCTCATCTTCCGTCTAAAAAGGACTACCTCCGCTTCACCAATAATTAAGTACATATATATACATGTATGTTGTTTATTGTGTTACTGTCTGTTAATTATGTGAGCGAGCTTTCTTTGTAAAATTACTGAACTTTTGTTGGTTTTTTTATGATTATTAATGAATAATAATAATTATGTGTTTATTTTGTGGGCCCGTCATCGTCACATTTTCACGTTATATTTGCACAGTGGGCCTTTTAATTATTTGGTGTAAAAAAATAAACTGGGCCTTGGTGGGCCTTCTATTTATTTATTTATTTGTGGGGTCCTAGTCCTAGTCCTACTACTAGATTTGAAATTCAATTCCCCCCAGTTAAGAGCACTCTTCTTGTTTTCCTTTCTTCGTTATACAACATGAAAAAAAAACAAAAAAAAAAAAAAAAAAAAGGGGAAATGGGGGGGTCATATAGAAAATATACAAAGTCCAGGGGCAGCTTCAAAGCAATTAATTCAATCCCTAATTGAAATTTGAATTTAAAGCGGGCTTCTTTTATTATCACACACACACACACACACTTTCGATTCGCAGCTTTCAAGCTCAGCCTTTTCTTTTCTTCGTTATCACTTTCTCTTCCACAATTCCCCATTTCCCCTAAAAGCATCTGCGATTCAACGACACTGATCATCATCATCATCGTCAATTGTTCAACCTTCCCTTTTCGCATGTTTCAAAGTTCAGTACTAATTCCCCCTTTTCAGAAACTTCCATTAAATCTCCTTCTCCATTTTTACTCCCTCATATTATGTCCAGTGACACTTCTTCCGCCCGCCCAAATCATCGAAAAACATTGCAATCCATTCCAAACGAGAATGAATTCGACACTTCTTCCAATCAAATTCCATCTGTCCCATCAAGAGCTCCGCTCAATTCTATACCCGACCCGTCCCAGTACCATTTGCATCAATCTCACGACCCATCTATAGCTTCTGCTAGTAAAAAATCCGACGGAATTGTAGAAACCCACCTAGTTCTGAAAACTCCAAAGTTTTGTGGTAGAGGTAAACTAACTAATTCGGAAACCAATTCAGCTCAAACCACACCAATCAGAAGCGGGCCTAGAGTTTCCAATATCGGTGTTGCATCTGGAAGTACTCTCACGAGGTTGCCTTCTCAGCTAGGTAATGGCGGAGGAAGAGGAGGCCCTTTCCCTAGGGTTTCTAGGGGGATTTCTGTCGTCATTCCCCAACAAATATTAGTTGATGTTCCACATTTCGAACTTGATGATGATCGGTCCTTTTGGAATGACCGCAATGTGCAGGTTGATTCATTGATTTGATTTCTCTTTTATCTTTTAAAGATGGGTTTTCGTTGAATGGTTTGGATTTTCATCTTTTTCCCTACATAAATGCAGGTTTTGATTCGAATTCGACCATTAAATAATAGCGAACTCATCTCCCAAGGTCATGGGAGATGCCTGAGGCAAGAGAGTGGACAGACGGTGGTTTGGCTAGGGCACCCTGAAACCAGATTCACATTTGATCACGTCGCTTGTGAAAGTATTTCACAGGTGCCCATTCGTTGACTATATTGGATTTAATACTGGGTCTGAGATGCAAATAATGTATTCAGTAATGATTTGTTCACTAAATTGGATTTAATACTTGGACATTTAGTTTCAAACCGTGGATCTCATGCATTGTGTAGCTCAGGCAACTGCTGTTGTGTCGATTTGATTTTTGACTTGTGAAGACTTCACTTTGTGTAGGATAACCTTTTCAGAGTTGCTGGACTGCCCATGGTGGATAATTGCATGTCTGGGTATAATAGCTGCATGTTTGCTTATGGACAGGTAGGTGCATGCTGTTGAGGCAGTTTGCTATTGGAGTATATTGACCTTGTTGTTTGAAACGGATTACAAAATTTTGAATAAACTTATTGCAGACAGGTAGTGGAAAAACGTATACAATGATGGGTGAAATTGATAAAATGGATGGAAAGCTAAGTGATGATTGTGGTATTACTCCTCGTGTTTTTGAGTATCTATTCACAAGGATCACAAAGGTTGATAAAACAATAATTTTTTTTTATGTTGGCTACTCTTAGAGTTTTGCCTGTATCACATTGATTCTTGTCCATCTTTAAGGAAGAAGAGAGCAGGAAGCAAGAGAGACTGATATACAGCTGCAAATGTTCTTTCCTGGAGATATACAATGAGCATATAACAGATCTTCTCGAACCTTCATCAACTAATCTTCTGGTAATTACAAGTTTGCTTGATTTAAAATAAACTACAATCCAGATCAATCCTGAGGTCAACTGAAACTTTTCTTTTGTCCTTTTTATAACAAATAATCTACTCTGTCTTTCTGATAAGTACAGCTTAGAGAAGACTCAAAGTCAGGTGTATATGTTGAAAACCTCACCGAGCACAGTGTCAGAACGGTTAATGACGTGCTTCAACTTTTGCAACAGGTGATTCACGAAGTTATATATCTTTGATTGAAAATCTTCCATTCGTTGAAACTTGTCTCGTCTGACAATATCTTGAATAGGGGGCTGCAAATAGGAAGATAGCTGCAACTCATATGAACAGTGAGAGCAGCCGGTCACATAGTGTCTTCACTTGCGTCATTGAAAGCCGTTGGGAGAAAGACTCTATGGCCCACCTTAGGTTTGGAAGACTGAATTTAGTTGACCTAGCTGGTTCTGAGAGGTAACAGCTGGTCTTATGGAAAATAATCCCAATTTGATACAGAATATGTTGGAATAACATTTCAAGTATAATAGGCAGAAGAGCTCAGGGGCAGAAGGAGACCGCTTGAAAGAAGCTGCAAATATTAACAAGTCTCTATCAACTCTTGGGTAATATTTTCTTATCTCATATTGAGTTAGGTTTCTGCTGATGCTCTCAGTCTCTAATAATACATAAATTTCTGTGTATCCATCTATGATATCATTACACCCCGAAGACACAACAGTTGACTGAGTTTTATTGTTATTATTATTATCTTATTTTTTTCACTTTTAGGTATGGACTTTAACTCTTCTGCTCATTTGTGCCTTTAGACTCGTAATTATGTCTCTGGTGGATGTAGCGCAAGGGAAACACCGACACGTACCTTACCGAGACTCTAGGCTAACATTTCTTCTTCAGGTTAGAGAAATATAAATTTTTGTTATAACTTACAATTTTACGTAGTACATACTCGATAATTTCTTTTCATTGAACTTGTATATTAAGGCTCTGTAGTTACGTACACCTTTTGAATACAGGATTCTCTTGGTGGAAATTCCAAAACGACCATTATTGCAAATGTCAGCTCATCTATTTGGTAAGATAACCTTGAAGCGATAATGCAAGTGGTTATTTTGAACAAAAGAATGACTTATATATTTTTATTTTCTTCTGCAGCTCTGCAAATGAGACCTTGAGCACTTTGAAGTTTGCACAACGTGCCAAGCTTATCCAGAACAATGTATAAATTTTTTTACAAAGTTGTTTTCCGTAGAAAATTGAAACTTTGAAATCCCTTTTTTTTTGGTTAATTACCCTGGTCTCTTCAGGCTAAAATAAATGAAGATGCTTCAACGGGTGTAATTGCATTGCAGCAGCAAATCCAACAATTAAAGGTAGAAACTTAATTCACGAGTATACAAACGTAACTCCTGCAAGCTTGTCATTTACACATCCATTTTAAACAGGATCAGTTGTCATTCCTGATGAAGCACCAGCATACGTCAATGGAATTTACAGATATCGTTCCAAGACCCGAACAATCTAGCTTGGGTAACTTTTCTGAAAGTCCCGAGCCATTCGAGAAAATTAATATCGATGACGAGAATAAGATTCCGAAGGGTAGAAGTAAGAAGGTAATGTTTAATCCTAAATGAAATTTGTTCATTATTCAAGGCTATACGAATTTCTCAACTAAACTGTTAATGCAGAACAAACTCTTTAAAGCTATCTTGCACGGTGTCCTACGACGAGAGAAATTGGCTGAGACAGAAGTTAGAAGACTGAAAACAGAAACTGAACATTTCAAGTGTTTGGTATATCACATATTCTTCAATTGGTCTATAGTGTTCTGTAATGGTGTTTCTGTTTCTGGATAAATAAATGTGAAAACCTTTGCAGGCTCACCAGCTAGAAGAAGAAACTCAGCATAATAAAATGATTCTCAAATTCCGTGAGGAAAAGATAAATCGCTTGGAATTACTGTTAGATGGACTGGTCTCCGATGATAAATTTTACCTGGATAACAACAATGCTTTAAGAGAGGAAAATTTGTTGCTTCAAGCAAAAATTGAGAGAAATCCAGAAGTCATTCGATTAGGATCGGAGAATATCAGACTGCTCGAGCAAATTAGACTGTAATCATCATGAATACATCTAGAATGCTTCTTGGTGGATATGATTGTACCTTTTAAATCATCCTGCTTCCCATGTTGGCAGGTTTCAGGATTTCTATGAAAAAGGAGAAAGAGAAACATTACTTGCTGAAATATCAGAGCTGCACAATCAGGTTTGCTGGAAGTTTTATCATTATTTTAACACAGATTTATCCGTTGATGACAATCTTATTGCATTGTCCACATTAATGAAGCTTTTGGAATCAGTTGCCGTTGAAGAAAGCTCTACACACCATCAGTTATCTCCAGTGAGCGGAGACCAGGTTAACAATGTAGCACTATCTGTTTTGTTTAATTAAGTTCCAAACAATTCAAGTTCTTTAATTTCTTATTATATCTTCCCTGAAATTGAAGGAGCTTGAAGTTGCAAATGAGTTACAATGCTGCAAAGATATGAATTCCAAATTAATCAGGTGAATCTACTTGCTCAATTATGACAGACAAGCTCATCTAGGTGTAGGCTACAGTATTCTTAAGCCTCACATTTATCTTGACTGCTTTGATACTCTTTTTTCACTGTTTCCTTGTTGATCAGTTTAGTCAACTAATTCTATTAATGCCTTTTGTTTTATCCGTTAAACATATTTCAGTTTAACATTTTAGTTGCATTATCGAAATAAAATTACGATTGTTTTAGCAATCACTATGTTAATGCTCTGTTTGTTTGCTTTTTTAATTAGCTGTTGTATTATTTGGTTTTGGTACTAACGGTGTTTAGCTTGTCCTCCTTATGACGTACAAAGGATTTGGTGCATTAGTTTAGGATTTATCATATCCACTTAATGAAATTGGTCGCCTAGTTGCTTGAATTACCTCATCATTTCACCTTTGTCTACAATTTGCTTTGCAGGGAAGTTGATGAAGTACGGGGGAAACTGGTAAACAGAATGAACTCTAATCAAGATCCTTTGCACTCAGTAAGGATAAGTTACATGCACTTTTCTAGCTACTTTGCAGTGTTATAATGTGTTAAAAGTGATTCTGCAGATGAGTTGGAATCTACTAGGTTATTAAGATATTTATGACCTTTCTAATGAGAAGGTGGGATATATGTTGAATTTGCAGTGTGACAATGCCCACAAACAACTGATGGATGCACAACCTTTGACAGAAGCCTTGAACTAGAGCAGTTTCAATTAATTGAAGACTAG